GCCCGCGCCGGGCGCCCTCCTCCACCCCGGCCGGCGCATTGGTCCGTGGGGCGCCAGCGCGCCGGCTTCCGGGCGCTCCCGGCCCTCCTGACCACCGGGCGGGGCGCGCTTCCCGGGAGGTGGGCCTCGTCCCCACCAATGAGCCTGCCCGGTTCCCTCCTCCGACTCTTGTCTCCAAGGAAAGAATTCTCCCCTCCAAAGGTTATTCATTCATTCATCGGGGCTGGGTCCAGCCCTCTGGCGTCCACCGCGTGCTCGGGGGAGCGCGGTAACAATAGCGAGGGCTCGGTCACCACGTTTCAAAGGGCTCCGAGGACCGGGCGGCGTCGCTGCGTCCTCGGGAAACCCCCTCCCACCGGCGGGGAAACTGAGGCAGGGCGCTAGGAAAGGGATAAGTCCGAGACAGGGCAGGGATTGAACAACTGGCCAGCTCACTCCAAAAGTGACGCCACTCTTCCTGTGGTCCCCACACCAAACAGTGTCCGAGGCCTCTGTCCTGAGGCCATCCCTGAACCGAATCACATCTGCATTCGAATGTGAGCCCGTCAGGTCTCACTCTCATAAGGCATAAATACGAAAAAGCGTATAAAGGCCTGACCTTGCCATTAAGTTCGCTGAGCGGCTCCCACAAGCCCTTAAGGCCGGCCTCAGTTCGTTTCTGTTTGGGGAAGACTTGAGCAGACGCTATCTATCCAGTCTACCAAATGTTTCTTGCTCACGCGCTGCAAAACCTACTATTTGCTTTTTTCAAAAAAAATGTCCCCCCAATTCCCAAACTGGGAGTCACTTTTCAGTTTTCCCCAAACTCCACGCGACTGAGAGGCTGACCACAGGTCTCCAGAGATGTTCCAAATGGAATGGGGATCCCCCTACCCCATCTCCTGGGGTCTTCCCTTCTTAAGAAAAGGCAAGTTCTATGAAAACCTTGTTCTGATTAAACTTTTACACACACACAAAGAAAGAAAGCCTCGTGGTGCTGTATAATATACAAGGGAGCTTAAAAGATTCATGAACACAAAAAAACCCTCCATGATCTTTAAATTCCATTTTTCCCCACAAGCTTTTAGAAGCCCCCTGTACGTAGTATATTTTATCATATTGACAGCATGGAAATTTTTACGTGCACTGGAGAAAACTTAGAAAATGCCAGTATGCTACCCAAAAAGGAAAATAATTGTAATTTCACTGTCTAAAAGTAAAGGAGGCTGGCCAGGGAAAAGGAGGCTCGTAGGAAAAGCCTTGGACTGCTAACAGGATCTGAGGGTCCTCCACCAGCCACTCCCAGGGAGAAAGATTTTACAGCCTAAGACACTATATCCTGTCCCAATGAACGGGAGTCTGCTCATAGCAGTGGGTGGATTTTTAGAGAAAGGGGCCCTAGAGGCTCAATTAGGTTACCTGCTTGGCTGAAAGGTCTGTGGTGCCAACCCATGGAGAGTACAGTCTTAGAAACTCTTATGTGCCAATTCTCTAGTGGCCTAGAGCGGTGGTTCTCAACCTTCCTTTAATACAGTTCCTCATGTCGTGGTGACCCCCAACCATAACATTGTTTTCATTGCTACTTCATCACGTCATGAATCAGGTAACCCTTCCACAGAAAGGGTCTTCAAACCTCTACAGGGGCCATGACCCACAGACTGAGAACCACTAAGAGAATAGTCTTAAATACTATAGGTTTAGAATAACCCTTTAAAATGTTAACTTTGATTATGCTAATCATTGTTCTCCCAATTAGCATGCACATTTACAAAAGTAGGGTCAGCACCAGCTTTTGTTGGCTGCTTTCCACTAAAAAAAAAACTAAATAAATTATCTATATACCGTCAACACTTTTTTCATGTCATTAAACTTTCTACAGTGTTTTCTAAGACTACATAGTATACTAATA